CCGGGCCATGGCGGAGCTGAGCGGCGGGCTGGAGCCGGTGGCCGTGGGCTTGTGGCCGCCTGGGGAGGCCCCGCCGGCCTTTCAGGTGAGGGGTGGGGACTGCGGCCACCGCGGCACCGGGCCGGGGGGACCGGGGAGGGGACGGGAGAAGAGGGGGAAGCGCCAGCCCGGCCCCTGCCCCTCGGTGTAGCGCCCAGCGCGGGCGGGGGGTCGTTCATCGCCGCGACCAGCCCCTCAGCAGCAGTCACGTTTTGTGCTCGCTCTTCGCCGTGCGCTTCAGTTACATATATTTTTTTTATTTTTTTTTTTTCTCCCCCTCACTATGTGGCGTTTTACAGACTTTAATCGCGCAGTTAAGACGCCACCTTTTAGGAGGAATAAAGTTGTTGCGCTACAGGGCGCTAGTATCGACCGTACGCTGAAACTAGACTGGGAGTAAAAATGCGACATACGTGACAGGTGCTTCCCGCTGCACAACCATCTGAAGTGGTCTACAAGAAAAGATATTATCTCAGAAGATAAGACAATGCTAAAGTCGTAACTTTTTTTCATACTTTCTTTGGCATAGTCTGGTTTCTGCCATTTTCTGCATTACTTGTAATAAGTTCCAAACACATTTCATGGAAGTACACCCGACTGCCTAGGAGTTTGCTTCAGGGATATTAGTGAGTCTTTAGAAAACAGAATGAAGAAGCTTCTAATAAACCTGGGTAGAAAATAAAAGATCTAATACACATAGACCCTGAATTTCCTGGTGTGCTGGTATTTAACGTAAGTAGGAAAGCTTGTAGTTAGAAAATGGGAGATGGGAATAGTTAAGGGACTACTACACTTGCTTTTGAGCAAAGCCAAATGACTGAAAAGCTGATGTTTATGAAAAAAGAAACTTCCAAATGAACTGGCATGTTTTGCAACAGCCAGAAGCTACCAGACATAAGAAACTGTGAAATGTAATATTTAGTAATAACACATACTCCAAGTTTCTAAATAAAGCTTTGCAAGCTGAATACTGAGAAGAAAGTAAAAATATGCATGTGGCTATCTTTTATATTTTGATTTTCAAATTCAGCAAAGTTTCTGTCGTTTATTTTGTAGCACACCATGGTTCTATAATCATTCACCTGCTGGGGGCATTGGTGTAATTTTGAGAACCTGATTTTCAACTTGTGTTTCTTGAACTGAACCACATCTATTCTAGTAGACAGTATTTAAGGTGCAGCAAATACCACCTCACATTCTACCCTGACAATAGGAGTTAGCTCAGCTTTTTTATAAATACAGAGGTGTGCTACTGCAACAACATCATCAGTTTCTAACAGAATTAGCAGGAACAAGGTTGAATGCAACCTTGGAGAGAAAAACTGAAAGTATCTTCGTTTATAACAAAAAAGGGCATTTGAAAGTCTGTGACAAAATAGCTATAGACTTAACCTTATAGATTATCAAGTTTTTGAAGACAGGAAGATTACTTTAAAGATACCTTGCTATTTCTGTAAATAAAAAACATATCTAATAAACTAGATCTGATTAGCTGACATGTTTTTTCTGCTAAGAAATTTTTTTTCTGGCTAGTAGACTATTTTGAGAAATTCAGTCACTAACAGACTCAATTCTTTTTCAGTCTATATAGAATCTCTGATTTGCATCTTTAAAAACGTTTTAGAAAAGACAGACTTGCAGTTAAAAGTTTACAGGAAAATAAAGTGTTCGTGGTCAGTGCAGACATCAGTTGTTGCCAGACACACACTTCTTAAAAATCTGATAGCCTCTGTAGAGAGAAACAATGAACGTGTCAAGGATTTGACTCTTGTTCTCTTTGCAGTATAGCCCAGACAACGTGGCTGGAGCAGACGGAGACATTGACCCCACGGAAATCACCTTTCCAGGCTGTTCTTGTCTTACCAGCTCCTGTGTGGTTCACGTGTGCTCATGTCTTCGCCATGGTGAAAATTACAACGGTTTGTGCCTCAGGCCTACAGAGCAAGAGGAGTACGCCAGGCCTGTTTTTGAGTGCAATGCCATGTGCCGGTGTGGTGAATCCTGCCAAAACAGGGTTGTTCAGAGGGGTTTGCAATTCAGACTTGAGGTATTTAAGACTGAGAAGAAAGGGTGGGGTCTGCGCACTCTGGAATTCATAGCTAAAGGAAGATTTGTTTGTGAATATGCTGGTGAAGTTTTAGGCTTTAATGAGGCACGTAGAAGAATTCAGGCCCAGACGTCAGAGGATTTGAACTATATTATAGCGGTGAGGGAACACCTCCATAGTGGTCGGATAATGGAGACGTTTGTCGACCCCACATACATTGGTAACGTAGGCAGATTCCTGAATCATTCCTGTGAACCAAATTTATTTATGGTGCCAGTTCGAGTTGACTCAATGGTGCCTAAACTGGCACTTTTTGCAGCCACTGATATTTCTGCTGGAGAAGAACTTTCATATGATTATTCTGGAAGATTCCATAATCTACCAATAACTAACAAAGAACAAAAATCTTTAGAGGAAGATAACAGATTGAGAAAACCTTGCTACTGTGGTTCTCGCACATGTGCTTCCTTCTTACCTTGGGACAGCTCCCTCTTTTCCACACCAGACGCCTGTTCAGGGAGCTCTCCAGAGCTTTTTAGCCCCTAAGCATAATAATTAAATTGCAATTAAATATAATTTTGATTGTGTATTCCACCAGGGAAGCAGGTGTGGTTTTGAGTAACAACTAAAAACCAAGATTTTGAGAATTAAATTCATGCAACATCCTCGAGACTCGCTTTCAAGGTGGGTAGTATGAAGGAATACAAGCTTCAAGATGTTCCAAAATCAGTTACTAAGCCAGGGCTGGTGGTTTTTTTCTTGTTTTCTTCTGACGGCTTGCGGTGTGTTAAAGCATTTCTCTCAGTTTGTACCTTTCAGAAGAAAACTAACATTGGTACACAGAAAAGACATGGTAACAATGAGAAATGTCACTGAAAAATTACACAAGAGAATGAGACTAAGGAATTTTGACATCTGTAAGAAGGACATTAAGTTCTTAAATAGCATTAATTTTTTTTTTAATTACTTACTATACATTTTTTTGTTCCACAAAGATAAATAATTGTTGATGTAAAAACCTGCCCAGAAAGATTAGTTTGAATACTTTGTGTCCCTCCCCCCACTTTCCCATCTCCAGTCACATCTAGCTGCACGCCAGTATCAGGTTTTAAGTGACTAGTTCAGCTCCATTACCATTTAGCTTCCTGTGTAAATGGCGCAGTACTGCAGGCTCCGAGAAGTACAATCATTCCATCTTTTTAAACCCTGTCTATTTCAAGACTCATATAAGATTTCTGCAATAACAGCAAGCAGCACATCCATGTTACTTCCCAGCACTGTTATGACACACTCAGGAAACAAATTCAGACTGCAGTCTCGAGCAGGATGCTGCTGCTTTTCTGTCTTCTGAAATAGATTAAAGAAGGAAATAGAGAAATATATCAGAACCACAAGAAATCTGTGTTTACATTGTTGAACGGCTGGCAGACAAATGAGTGTTCCTTTCAGTGACTGATTTGTTTTCCTCCTGCAGAGCCAGACAGTACTAGGCAAGGCCTGGCCTTTCCCAGCAGAGGAAGAAGGTCGTTGCCTCTTTTTGGCATTCGTGGGCAGGTCTGGCCCGCATATGCTGCCACTTCACTGCGCATCTCCTACAGCAGTGGTACATGAGAGCACTTGCTAGATGGGGTACATTCTGCAATTGCACATTACTTCCTTTCCAGTAAGATCAAATTAAGGAAGCTTTAGACAGACTTGTTTTGAATTTCCCCCAACCTTGATACACAAAACAGATAAACTGCAACACTATTTCTGACAGTCTTGCCACAGTGTGCCTTCAGTGGCACAAACCCCTGGGTTATCTACTCCCTACAGTTTGATCTTTAATTGTATTCATAACCTTTGACAACATACAGACAAGGCAGCACATCTTGGGGGATAAGCTTTTCTGCAGGCCATTGGCAACTTCTTTTTAAAATAAAAGACAACTTTGATTTCGACATGTAAGATTAACCTAATACTGGCAAAGGATAAAGGACCTTTTGCTGCTATTATTTTGCTATTTGCCAAACAAAATCTTATTTTATGTTTACCTAGACTAATAAGCCTCAGTATTAGCTTTTCTCCATTTGATATATATCTTCATACTTCCGTTATGAAGAACTGCTGTTAGGATTTATATATAGCTGTGGTTTTAATTTAAGATAAAGATACCATGTCATTTTTCTTCAGGTTAATCATTAAGTGTCAGTACAGAAAGCTCCCAGAGGATTTCAGCTGCTTGTCAAAGGCAGTTTGCAAGCTGAGCAGCCATGGACTTCATTTCTTGCCTGATATAAGGTACCTGCTTCTCTAGAGGAGAAGTTCTCCAGATCCTGTAACTGGGGATGATATCAGAGTAGCAGGGGTTGTGTGGTCTCTTGTCTTGTGTAGGGACTCATCTGATTTTCTTTTCTTCCCCCAAAGGGCATCACACCAGCCACTTTGAGCCTGCAGTACTGGAGGGGTGAGAGTGGACAACCCAGTCTTCTTCCTTTTCCTCCCAGAAAAAGTTTCAAGACCAGTTTTATACCATTTGTATTCCTTGTTTTCAAGATGACTGTACAGTTTGTTAGCTTCCTGTTATGAATATGCACTTGGCATGATTTTGAATAGTTAAGGAAGTGTAGATAAAAAAAAAAACCAACCCCAAAACAGAAAACCCCAAACACCATGAGCAGTATCTAGTCCTTGCATCACCAGCCTTAAACCAGAGAACAACTGAGCCTTCTGTCTGCACAACCCGACCCTTTCCATCCCCACCAGCTGATGCTGCTTCTCGCAAGTGAGCCGAGTATGAGTTACCTGGTTAGAAAAAACTTCCATAGCACAGAACAAGAGAGCCTTGTGCTGCTGAAAACAGCCAGCCATGTTAAAGGTCGTGCAAAACCATGAAATAATTTCTTGTCATTGAGTTCTGAACCAGCGTGGCAATTGGGAACAGCCCTTTTCCAGGCACAGCATGAGTTATACTTTGCTGTGCCTCAGCATGAGAACTGCCTGGGGGTGCAGACCAAAATCCTCCTGAAAGGAAAATCCCCTAGCAAGGAACTGGAAAAGACAAGACCCTTTTTTTCTACCTGCTACATTTCTGTTCACTTTTTCCTTCAGGTTCCTTTCAGCTTCAGAGCCCCACTCTACCACTTTACTATTCAGTGTGCTCTTTCACAATGAATCCAATCACACCGCTCAAAAGGCTGAGCTCTGTGTAATCCTCCCTCCTTTCTGCTGTCCAAGTGCAGTAATGATTATCAGTTCCAGTATTCAATACTCAAACTTGGGGATTTACTTTCCCATTGAAATCTGATCAGATTAAATCAAGGATGTTTAATGAAAGATCTTGTAATAAAACACAGTAACCATTATCCAAACAAAAGCAGCATGACAGGGACACGTTCCACACAGAAGAACAGGAGGACTTTCCTCCACATGCCACCCACCGCACAATGAGTATTCACTGAAAGATACATCGAATTGGGTGTATTTTTTTCAAGGATTTTTTTTCCAGCATAAAACCCAAAACCAACTCAAGGCAAAATCTGTTATCAAGTACATTCCGTCTTGTGGCAGACACACGCACCTTTTAGAAAGATAAAGATAGAAAAATTATTTCCCTATTACTCTCAATAAAATATATTTTTAATGCATAGATTTTAATTAAACATTTAAGGCTGGTAATGCAGTGTTTATGACAGAATATTTACCACAGCTTTTACCGGTGTGTTCTGGAATGGTTTTTTTCTGCTTGCTAGAATTCCCTTTACACACTGCTGGCAACCAGTGTTTGTTGATGAGCTCCCCAGATGCTCTCCAGTATCTTTTCAACATGAAACACTAAATGGAGGAACATTTGTATTAACCCTAGGTTGTATTAAACCCAACTTCCTACAGAAGAGACAATGCTAGGGAAGACTAGCACCAGTGCAAAAATTGTTGATCCACCACCTTTTTCACTGCTAGGTCTCAAGGCTGCAGAAAAGAGGGCTGTGTTTGGAGGCAGTGAGGAAGCCTGTCAGGGTGGCGGCACAGCCCGCTGTGACACCTTCCCAAGGACAGCCCTTCTGGCAGGAGCTCACTGCACAGGCCGCTGCTTGTTTGGGCTCCCGAGAGCAAGGAGGTGCCTGGCACAGAAATGCAACCAGACCCTGCAGTGTCCTAGAGCAAGCGACAGCGCAAATTACTGCCAGAGGCCTGAAATACATCCAGATCCCAAAATGAGGTTGCTCCCCTTCCCACTTCGTTTCCTCCTTGCTAAAATTCCTCCCCTTTTATTAAGTGAGCTTTTTTTATTGTTGGGATATTTTTTTTGGTTAAACAGAGAAAAGTAGTTTTAAAAGCTATCTTACTAAGCACAGTTACATTTGCCATCTTTTCACTTTAATGATCTTCTATTTAAGTTAAATCACCTGCTGGCTTGAGTTTATAATGATGCCATTTTTTCAATTTGCAAAAAAACCCTACACCATGTCCAAAAGAAATTCAAAGGAAAGTGCCAGTGTTTTTCCATCAAAAAAAGTCTTCAGCATAAATAAATGCTTGAAATTTTATTCAAATATGTACATCATTTCTAATCATCATCACCCTGAGGATGATAAACTTCAAAAAAAGGAGCAAGTAGCTCACCAGAAAAAGCACATTTCTGGACCTGATTTTCACTGCAACAGTACTGTCTTCCAGTCCTCACGTCTTCTTAACTCCTTGTTTTCTTTTAAAGCTGTCTGGAATTTTATAAAGTCCTTGTTTATGGGATTTGAGTGTAGAAATTCAAACTATACATAAATAAAACTATTTAATAAAGAATTTTTCTAAAGGAATAATTAAACAAAATTAACCCTTTAAGACCCAATCAGCATGTTCCTTGGCTTTGTGCTAGCTGAGTCCAGAGTACGCTTTGCTAAAACAAACAGAATTCACCAACAAAAAGTTTGGTCAGGGTAGGAGTCCAGGCCAGGTTCCCCAAAGATAAATACATGAAGATTCTTCAAGCAACATTGAGTAGTGTTGGATTTTTCTCCCTCAGCAGGAAGCCTAAGCACTAGTTCTTTCTCCTCTGTGTCACCAGCAAGTGACAGTCCCCACATCTCTTCAGCCTTGGGTGCAGTTTAGCCCCTCGGGCCCCAGTGTGACAGCGGGCTCGGTCAGAAGACGTCTGCTGCGCAGCGGAACCCCAGGTTGGACGCGGAGCTGTCAGGGGTGTTCTGGCTACGGGCTGCACAGCGGTACCTGTAGCAGTGAGACTGCAGAGTAAAGAGAGAAATTTAAGAGTAGAGTCAACATAGCGCTTAGGGATCTGGTGTAGTTGGGAATCGTCAGTGTTAGGTTAATGGTTGGACTGGATGATCTTCAAGGTCTTTTCCAACCTAGTTCATTCAGTGATTCTGTAAACTTGAGAGCAATCACAGCTTGTGCTTCCTTAGGCAAGAGCTTGTTAGATTAATACAGCACAACATTTCAAACGCTGTTGGACAGTTCTGATCCAGATCAAAATCACTGTGAGAAATAAGGGGAATCCCACTGTATACCAGTCACAGCAGATATAAAAGGTAGTTTGAATGGGAAAGCATCCGATAACATGAGTGTCAATTTAATGTTTAATAATGTATAATAATAACATACCCTGCTTGGGGAAGAACCTAAAATGCCCATTCTGCTTCTCCTCAGACAAAGAGAGCACATCTCAGTGCCTTCATCTGTGTATCAGTACAGCGAAGAACCACTGGACGTGGACAGGTACGGGCACCTGTCAGAAACATTTCACTGAAGGAAAGATTCACATCATTTCTGCAACAACAAGAAAGGAATAACTGGAGGCAAACTCCTCCCCAGTATTCCTATGGCTAGCATTCTAGGGGTATTAAAATCAAGATATATTCTGGACTGGTGACTATAAAAACATTTATATTTAAAATTAAGCCACTGAAAATGACTGAATTGCATTTCAGATATTCCTAGTAGACAGCTTTGAACACCGTCCTCCAGAATGGGCTGAAATCACATAGCCACCTCTCAGGAAGTGAAAGGAGGAACCATTATTGCCATTTCATTTCCCTTAAGTGAGAATGGAGCACAGGTTATTACACAGGACTTGCCCTCACACCCACCAGACACAGCCATTTGATGCCATTAATGTGTGTCAGTGGGAAATACCGCCACACTTTGATTCCCAGTGCTGTCTCATGCTTGTAGGGTTTGGTATTTCTGTGATAGACCCATTTAGATCAAAAATGCTATCTTAAAAGATTGATAAAAGGACTGCTGCAGGGTCTGTTGTACAAGTCCTTTTAAAAAAGGCTGTTAACCAAATGAATCTAAACAGGACAAGGTCAGACATCTTTACAGCAAGGTACAGACACTGCTCTGTAACATTTTGTACGTTCCCTGGCTGTACAGATTTAGCCATCTCTCGGTGCACATTAATATACTACACTGCTTGAAAAAAGAAAAGCCTGTTGCTAGTCACAGTGCTACAGATTCTCAATTACCTGGTGTTAGGAATGATGGTTTCTGAATTGCAGAACTAACCAGTTTAAGTGGTTCACTACATTAAATCAGTCTGATGACTGCCCAGAAGTAGCAGCCCACTGCAGCATGGAAGGACAGTTACACTGGTAATTTCACTAATAAAGCGCTGGGGGTAGCAGACTGCATTTATGTAGCAACTCCAGTACAACCCATCCGAGTTCTGCCACCCACATTTTGCGGTTACTTCAAAACGATGTGTTCCTACGTTCAAAAAGATTTTTGTTCCTATCCTCCTGCTATAGGCTCCTGGCCTCTGACAAAACCCCACCACTTTCAGAGCCTGACTACATGCAGCTGAACCTGCCTGACTGAACCAGACTCGTGGGATGGCTGGGTTAAAAAGCAGATGCTTTTTTTTTTTTTTTGCTTTCTTTTACCCCCTACCTTTTCTTTTGGGAGTGGGAAGGAGCAGAGGAGAGTAGATAGAAGAGGGTAGTTTTACTCCTTTAAACCCAGATTCCTTCAGGAGCTTGCGCACAGCTACTAAACATTTCTATTTGAGTAACTAGGAGGGTGGTGATAGCTGAAGTGGGCTCTGCCATCCCCACTGAGGCAATCAGGTCGGCCATGTCCATCTCCATCACGGCCTCTCCACCACGCGGGAGCTGTGAACTGCTGCTCCTCACCAGCAGCGTGCAGGCAGGGAGCGGCGGGTGCCCTCAAAGCGCGGCACACGCTGCTGCCTCACATGCTGCAGAGTTCTACCCTTGCACCTCCACAGCACCTGAAAGGATTTAGAAGCTGAAAATAAAAGCTGCTAAGCATTCATGGAAAAAGGTACAAACTTTAGCCTTTGTCAACTCTGAGAGGTAGAACTGCAGTAGACTAGATCGATAGGTCTGAACAGATTTTAGGCACAATAAAGAGCCCTTGTACTAGTAGTATTCAATGGGGTTTTTTGTCTTGATACACAGCCTAGTTTTATCACCTACAAAAAAGACTAGGACAGACCAGAATCTTCACCAGCCTTTAAAGTGGGTCACATTATTCATCACTGAAGAAGAGTCTATTCCAGCGTTAATTTAATCAAAACTGCTAATTAACATCTGACATTGATTTCACCTAAGAAGGAAATCAGTGTAGAAAATGGGATATCGCTGCAGAAAATTTAATCTAATTATGAGAATGATTTGCCAGCTGCAGGCTTTCAAAAGGAAGAAGAACAGGACAGCTTTATAGAAAAAGGAGATCCACAATGAGCATTTTTCCAGTGCTACATGACCAGAGTTTAAAACATGGTTTGTGTCATGAACAGCGATTGCATTGTCGTGTTCTCCAGACTTCTCAAAAATTTTCAAATCTGCTATCAGCTAAGCTGAAACATTTGTCTCCCAGCAATCTTTCTGCAAACACCTGGTAGCCTTTCTGGATCAAGAGCCATTCTAAAACTAAGAAAAGTCACATTCATACTTTCTACTCTTACAAGTATCACTCAAACACTATAATGAAAATCACATTAGAAGCACACATCAATTTTATCTTCTACATCTAAAAGCACAGTTTGTTTGTTTTAATTCCAAGCTAACAAAAAAGAAGTCCTTAACAACATTAGGTATTGCTGCTCTTTAAACTACAATGAAACCCCTTAACAAGCATCAGGCTGCCAGGAAGCTCCGACAGAAGATCATTTCATTGTCAAGTCAGGTACTTCCAGAGGAAAGATGAACATGAAAATACCTCAAGGCTTTTTCACATTACCTTATGGCACATATAGGATCCACCCTTCTTCACCCTGTCTGTCCCAGATGAGGGCCCTGTCTGTGGAGAAGAGGACACTGGTCACTATTCAAGGAACAACAATTGCAGGTTACAGCATTAAAGGTAAAATCTGTAAGAATAGGGAGGTGGATAAGGAGCAGCCATACATAGTCAAAGTAAAACATATCAGCTGTGTCTGTCTGAACCAGAAAACTTGAAAAAGTTATGTTTAAAAGTCTTGCAGAGGGGTGAGATTAATTGTACTCCCTCCCCATCACTGCAAATGTTAGAGCTGCTGCCCAGTGCAAGAGTGCCTTGTGCTTGGTTTCTGTAAAACACCTGAGAACATGCTGTAAGAAGCACAGTGGCAATCACGAGCGAGCCATCATCTCTGAAAACAGATCCCTTTCTGTAATTTCAGACATTTCCAAATGAGAGGAGAGGAATTTCACACCCTCGCCTGCACATGTAATGAAGTCTGTGATTCTCATAATTTCCACTGCTATGAAACTCACATGTGGAAACCCAGGAGCCTCCAACAGGAATACAGAGAACTTCCCCTTCTCTAAAGGCAGTGACACTCTTTGGTGGACAGTTGCGATGAGGGGCTGTAATGCCCAATATTTGGTGCTTGCTCCCTTCCCAGTCTGAAACAAGTTAGTGACTGCAGAGCCAGATGTTCTGTATCATCTCCCAGCCACCACGCATAAGACCTGTGGGATCACTTTGTGGGATCACGAGAGCTGAAGCGGCCTGCAGAAAGCACTGCATGTACCAGCAATTTTGTAACTGCATGCACATTTGCACTGTAATCTATGTGATTTATTCAAAGTGTTTATGAAATTGGCCCTAGAATTGATTTAACCAGGTAATTTCACTCTTCTTTTTCAATTCCAACTCCAGTGGATTGGTTCAAGGAAAAAGCTAGGCTTCCTAATAACACACTTGCTTGCTCTGATGCGTATTTATCACACAGGTGAGCAATTCTCCCATGTCATTCCTTTCAGCTGTGACAGTTACCACTGCACTCAGCTAACAGGGACTACTGCTATACTTCATGCTTCCACTGCTGATACAAAATATTCTTACAAGCTTTCTATACTCCACGTGCATTGAGAAACTCCTTATAGAAGGAACCACAAGAAAATCTTTCTTACAGAAGTGACAAACAAGATCAAAAAAATAAATTGTGGTTTTAATTAACTGGCAAGCCTAGCCTAGAAGTTAGTACTGCCACTAAGAATCCTCTCAATGCTGTAAGATTTGCATATATTTCTATTTCTGTACATGTTCTGCTGGCATGCAACAAAAACATTTCCTTACATGTACAGACCTGCAATAAAGAAATTTTCACTTAATTTGAGGTACAAGCTGTCATTTCTTCACTGGCTGGTAGGGTTTATAAATCAAGTCTATTTCTAGGCAAAACCCTATCAGAAGAATTTGAAGAATACAGGAAGAAAAAAAAAAAGCCATGTTGTTCTCCAAATCCCTGCATTTTCTATTAAGACCATTACCTTGATCAATAAATAGAGGTTACAAGAAAGTCATCAGCCTAGTTTTTAGCATTAGGAAAAAAAGATTGCTACAGAGTATGTAAATGATACAAAATATGCCATTAAAAAGTACCATAATAGGTTAAAACCAGACAACTGCTGAAAAAGAAATGCTGCTGATTATTTTGTCTCTTCCTGTGCAGGAGCCAGCCGTTTTTATCCTGGAAATATCTCAAAGTGGTGTGTTTTCTGCAAAGCCTTAAGAACACCACATTCACCAATATAAATGCAGTCACCAAAAAAAAACCCCCAAAATCTCACTTCTGTAGATCTCCTGAATCCCAGAAAAATTTCCCTTTAAGAAGCAGGTTCCCAAAGAGGGGGTTTCATGGGGAATGACACCTCTCCAGCTTCTCAGTGACCACCAATGTGACCAGGGTGGTTCTGCCTGGTCACTGAACCATCCCAGCCTCTATCAAGGGACATAGTTGTCTCCCACCCAGCTCCTGCATTACCAGAGGTGAAGCTCTAGAACAATCAAGCACAAGCATTTGTAACACTGAATATACATCATGGGGACTGTAAGAAAACCCTGTGAGGTGATGCTAGTACTACAGAAGCTACTGACTGCATCCACTGAGCTTGACTGCTTTGAGAGTCTGCATACTGAAAGCTCACCATACTGAAGCTTCAGCAGCTTCACACTGATTGCCTATCTCAACATTTTGCAATAAAATAAAAATTTCCCTACTACTGCAATTAGTACCCTAACAAATACTCCACCAAAACCACATCCAGAGGCAGCATCCTCTTGTTTCCGATCCAGGGTGCTCCTCCATGGAACAGCTTACTCCATTTCTAGTCTCTTGAAATTGTCGTCATGAAACTCACATGTAGAGGCTCTGAGCCCCACTCTAAAATAAGCCACTGACATGCACGATTAACTCAAACAGCCTGTTAATCTCACTTTACGGGAAGCCAGAGTAGAACCAGCCAGAATAAAACTCACACCTAAAAAAAGCTACGTGACAACAAGACAAACCAGAGAACAATGGAGCTGTTGAGAAGGATTTCTCTTAAAAATTGTAATGCAAATACAGAGCAGCAATCTTTGCTATTAGCTCCAAAGTAACTTTTATAAACCAAGAAGAGCATGCTAATTTAGGATTAGAAGGTTTATTGTCCAGCCATAAGACTACTGTATGTTATCGAGGGATAGCATATACTGAAGCATGCAAACCAAAGAAAATGGTAATAGCATAAGCTCTTTTTATTAGTTACAAATATCTTCTGCCAGGCAAAAACCGAGCAAAGATTATTTGGTAACAGAAACCCAAGTTAAACTAAATCCCTCTCAGCCTCTGAAGTAGGATTACAGCACTGAAACACTTTATCACCTGCAAAAATCTGATATAGTGTTCTCTGATAATCTATTCAGTTACAAAACGTTATCCTCTTGATAGATAATTCTTAAAATCACTGAAGGTAAAGAGGTTATCATAAAACAACTGGAAAAGTTCTCTGAAGAGCAGAAAATCACTAGGCATTAGCTGGAGAAACAACTGCTGCCTTACAGCTGTCTGTGGGCTACATGCAATTCTCCCGCTGTTGCTATTTCCCTGTCTCACTCTGCAGTTTAGCAAAAGAAAAGAGAAAAGGAAGTCGGGATAACCAGATTTCACCACAGTTGTATCCAGCTACTTACACATGTACTAAATCAAATGCACAAGTGACCATGCACAAGAGATCAACTAGACTGACACCTGCCTCAGCTTGTAACTGCACTCAAGTTATGGGAGGTTAAAAAAGAACCACAGAACCTCCAAACATGACTTTATGTTCTCCTTCCTGGTGTTAAAAACACAGCTTACAAGAACTCTCCGTCTCATTTGAAGGCTACTGGGCAGTTAAAATTCGAATCACAGCATTGAACATAGTGGGCAGCAAAGCCACATGGGCTGATCTGAAAGCAACCAAAACTAAACATCCCCCATCCCCATTTACATCGGTTTGTACTTCTGTATCCCAGGTTTGTCTGTCCTAGGAGAACATGGTGCTGGAATCAAGCACTGCTTCCCCTCTCTAATGGTTTGCTTCTGCATCCTGTGCACCCCCCCCACGTAGCACTATGGGCTGAGGACTGCACAGGCTCCTGGACGACCTGTCACCCCCTCAGCCAAGGCCTGTACTTGCATTCCTTTGCCTCAGGAGCCTTCTACTGCAGCTCCTGGTAAATTCACAGCTCAGCCACTGCAGTAAAGTTCAGGGCAAGCAGCTGTCCTCCCCCTGTACTGCCCAATGGCTTATTATCTTCCTTTTTCTATCCCAGCCTTGCTGAAGAAACCTCAAACATGTCATGTGCAGGAAGGAGCCACCTGGACTCTACTTCCTTAGCATGTGAAGTTGAATGATTTTGTCCAGAAGGGTGCTGCAGCTCCTTGGTCTACCTGTAGCGTGAACCATCCCTGTTATCCCATACAAGGCCCTGTTCCCAGCCGCAAACTGAGAAAGGTAGAAACCAAGCCCCTACAGACAAACTGGAATAAGAGATTTCAATTTTCTGAAAGGTGTTAAGAGCTAATGTCCCCTACCAGTAACCCCACTCCCAATGCTGCACACAAGAGTCTCACACATGCCCTTCTCACTAGAGTCCTCACCTCTGGGTGTCTTTGCCCTACCTACATCACTTGCTTAAACTTTCTCTTGTTTTACAAATAACCTTAGCAGTCCTTAGATCTGCAGATACAGAACTATAAACTCATTCCTGTCTGAGCACTGCCTGCTTAGAGAGCACAGAATAAAGCCCAACCAAACCCCAAAAAACTTCACTGCTTTCCCTTCCACAGAACTATGCAGACTTCACATAGAGCATCCTGAAAAGCTATTGATTGGGTGGATCTTGGCCTTTCAGGAACAATGCAGGCTTTTAACATTCTTGGTAAAGTAAGAGTGTACCAACATCGTCTAACTTGGGTCAGACAATGTTACAGCTCAATATCACGTATTATAATTTTTAAAATGAGAAAGCCTGCCGTGTTCATATTTGCTCATACTTGTATCTTCCTTACAGATAAAAGAAACATGCTTTGATTATGCTTACCCATAATAAAAACTCAGAGCACAGCAATTAAGGTTACTTTTGATTAAAACAAGCAAATCTTTGTTCCATCAAACAATATTGGTTTATGCCATTATCTGGAGAAGTGCACCATCTGGTACTGAAGTGGAAGGACATTTGCTGTCCATATGGAGAGCGCCAGAGCTGTCCAGACTTTGATCCCTGATTTAAAGAACAGAATTTGTTGCATACTGGCAAATTTATTTTGTAGTATAATTTGTAACAGACATATTATAGTCTGATTGCATAATTACAAGTGCTTGTGCATCCAATTACCTAAGCTTATAAATGGGATTATTCTTTAAAGAGTTATGACAATACATAGAAGCGCTTTTTTAAAGTGAAAAAACTTGTATTTCTTTCATTACATCAAACAAATGCTTGCTGAAGTTGCATTGTAATTTCCTACACACAGTCAGCCACACTGCCACTCTGCTTTTGAGCTA